CCAATCAAAGACTTTTTAATATAATGCGTGAGGCGTGGCTCGAACCCCTGACCTCCCACACAAATTCCACACTTTTCACCAGTTGGGCACTTTATCTTAATTAATTATTTCTTTCACATATTATATTTATAGTATAAATATATAACAGATTCATCTCAGATCAACGATTGGTGCTGTGAGTATAAACCTTGTTTATCCCACGTTAGAATTATAATTCATTTTTTTTCTCTTCTTATCAACCTCACATTCTCCAATACAATAATATTACACGTAACTCAAAAAAATTTCTTCTTTTTTAATCACACATTAAAAAAAATATGATTCCAACCATTAAAATTTCGAATAATGGGGTCCAAACGGGGGCTAAATGTTATACTTCCTTGCTGCCCTAATGAAGTTAGGTCATTCTTCTGTGTGCACCCGTTGTCTAGAATATTCGTGTGAACTCTAATTTTAGTCTTCTCTTTTTGTCATCTTCAACATCTGGGTAGATGAATTGTTTTCTGAGTGAGAAAAGAATTTAAGATTAATTCCTCCAAGGAGTTAAATGATAACCTGGTTATCTTCAGTTAGTCAGTCCAGGACATTACTAACACAATAGATAAGGTATCTAAGGAATACAAGGCAGTTGTCCTCCTAAGTGTAATTCCAAAAACTTATAAGGATGTCAAAACTGTCATAAAATATGGTAGAGATACCCTTACACCTAATATTGTCATCAACTCCTTTGGGAGCAAGGACTTGGAACTGAGATATGAGAAAGACAGGAGTATGTCTGAGAGTCCGTTTGCTAGAGGCAGGTCTCATAATAGGCAGACCTGGAATCAGGAAGGTCAAAATAGTTAAGAAAATAGTAATAAGAAAAAGAATAAAGGGAGGGGTAGATCAAAGTCAAAAACTAGAAATAAGAAATGTTATGGATATAGAAAAACAGGCCACTTTATAAAGGACTATTATAAAAGAAGAATAAGATGAAAGAAAAGAATATTGATGAAGGAAATGCAGTGGAGGATTTAGAATCTAACACTTTGGATGTACATATTGTCATTAAGTCTTGTATTGATCTGAATACTGCAAACGTTGTGGATAACAATGATCAGAACCAAGAGTGGATCTTGGACTCAAGCTACATTTTTCATATTAAATCTAGGAGACATTGGTTAGAAAATTTTGATTTATTTGACGCCTCTTTGATGACGCAGATAGGTACAATTGACTAAGCCTAAGATTGAAGAAATCTTGATGCTTGCTGGTTTAGATTAGCAGCGTTTCTGTGTTATCTTTTAAATCTGTGTTTTCTGTATTTGAGGTTTGTATTAATAGTATTCCCAATCATGCTATAAGTACAGATTTTTTTAACGTAAAATTTCGATGGACGACACTAAGCGTGGTACAATTGGAAGTTGATAAAAAGGAAAAAGACAATCAAGTTCGGCCATGTCAACGTCGGTATCGATTATGTTAAAATTTCTATGCACTTGGAGCTTTATTGTGGTATTCCTTACTTGTCATTGGCTTCTTCTTGCTACTTCTGTGTTTTTATTTTAATTATTTGCTTCACTAATGTATAGACAAAAGACCAATTTTATCCACTGGCCTATAAAAGTGAAAATATGGAATAGAAAATATAGCTTCTATAAATGAACGTTGATCTTTCAATCAAGTTTTGGATGATTTGCCATATCGTTCTTGCATTACGAATGAGATGTCACATTTGGACCTTTTGGGAAAAAAAAAGTTGGATATAGAAAGAACATATTTACACTAAATCACATAAAGTTGTTGTCACTTCACACTTGGGTTGGAATATTAAAGAGACTTTAGCGCTCTGAAAATTTAATACTTGAAGTGCATATAGTACACAATATTCAACTACATTGCATACTGATTAAAAAAATATTTTTCTTTTTCATTATTATGCACCTGTTTGGTAGCACTTAAAATTTAAATTTTAATCAAAGTCAAAGTCAGCAAGTAATTTTAACCACACATTTTATGGATCCCACAACCTTTTAATCACATATTTCATCAACTTTTATCAAAATCTAGTAAAAATATAATTTTAATCGAGGTTGTGTCAAGTTTTTGGTTATGAAATTTGGCTTCTTCTTTGTGTTAATGATACAAATTTATAAAAATAGTTTATGAATTTCAATCACTCATTCATAGCTATTAATTATCCACACATTTAATAGGACTCGCTCTCATTCATTTTTATAAATTAGTTATAAAGTTTGTCAAACGGTGGCTAAATTGCATGTGGCAAATTGGTCCAAGTTAGACCCGAACAATATTTCCTTTTTGTTTTGGGCTCCAAGTATTGTGCTAGTCCTTAGATGATTAAAATTATTCTCACTGACTCTAATCAAAACTCGAATCCACTCTTCATGAATCTTGAAAAAAATTCCACAGTTATCCCAAACTCCATATTCAAAAATAACTCATCCAACCCCACTGGGTTGAGCCCCATTCTATGTGGCAATTATATGATATTAAATGATAGATTCATTTAAGTACAAAGTCACATGACCCATTTAATTGAATATATCAATTAATGACATGTAATTGACACATAGACCGGGGTTCAACCCCAATGAAAATGAATAAAATTATTCTAAAAAAAATGGTTTAAGGACAAGTTTTAGTAAGCGCCATAAATTGTAGACTTAGGTTGTGTTTGATATATGTCATTTTCCCTCAAAAATGGAAAGACTTTTCCAATTCCAGCTTTTTGGTGTGTTTGATGGCTTCACTTTTCACCAGAATTGGTTTCCACCGCAGCCCACTGACGCACCAGTTTTTCGTGCGTGGAAGGAATTGCTTTTCTTTTGGGTTGGTTAGTTTTTCATTTTCCAGGTTCCTTTTGTTTTTTTTTGGGAATTGAAAAAAAATCTAGACACAGTGGTAAAAAAAAATTTCACTTTTATTGACAATTTTAGTGTAAAACAAAGCTAAACGAATGATATTCGGTATGATAAATTTTTCTAATTAAAAATTTTTTTTTTTTTAACTTTTTTTTTGGTAATTAGAACAAATTCTAAACTCAATGTTAGAAAAAATTATCACTTTAAATAACAATTTTCATAAAAAACGAAGTCAAACGGATATCAAACTTACAACATTTTCCAGGTGAAAAATTATACCAATCAAATACAATTAATTACAATTCCCAGTAAAACAAATTCTATGCAATTCAATTACCAGTAAAACATTTTCTTTCCACCTATTTTCCACCTTTGCAATTAAACGGACCCTTATGGTATAACTTTTCCAATAAATAAAGCAATGTACAAATAGTGTGTTAATGGGGCGAGCCAACTTACTTGACAAAAGTGCAGCTCAGCTCAACCTATGAGCTTATCCCTTGGTTAGGTAAGTAGAGTAGGCTTGGGCTCACTTTTTTTTTTTTTTTTTCTTTTCTTTTTTTTTCTTTTTTATTTTATTTTATTGAAATGGTATATTTCTCTCAATTTGACAAATCGACTCGTGAGCTCGTGTGAGCCAATAAGCGACTCGCATAACCAAATTACTGTTACACCCCACTAATACTCGCATGTATTATTCAAAGAGTTATTCCCTTTATTTACATGTGCTATGCTGACAGCATATTCAAGGTGATGTTTTTAATTGACTTATGTATCAAATTATAAATCGTCACATATATGTCACGTAGTAAAACTACCGATAGTTTTCGTTACGAATAGCGTTACTCTACTTTTTTTTTCATTTTTTTTTTTGTACACATGACAAGGTTCTTATATCAATCCAAAAGAAACGTGGGTTCAATTCAAATGTCGACAAATCATGCTTTTCAGGCCTCTTTAAAATAGGAAACTTCTAAAGCAAAAAGGCGAAATAATTCCCATACAGTTGATTAACGTACGGTTCAACAACCAATTTCCGTTTTTGTCGACTTCGAAAATCTATTTTCGGATGTCAACTCAAATGTCGGCATCATACCATTCAGACCCTTCAAAAATCCGAAGCAAAAAGCGTGAAAGAACCCCTACAGTTTTTTCCCTACAGTTTCACATCCAGTCAAATATTTTGACGACGATTTCCCTCCCCCTTCAACTTCCAGAACAGTAGTAGTATTGATTAGCATCCAGCTCCCAAATCCTAGCTGGACTTTTTGCCGTCCATTTCTCTTATTGATTACATCGAGAGAATTATTAAAATACAATTATTTGGAGAATTGAAAGACAGATTACAGAATTCTAATCTCCATTTATACTCCAATACGCGCCAGGCACAGAGATCAAAATCAGTATTGAAAAAATCAGTGAAACACAAGTATAAGTTGAAACTGTTTACCACTTGATTAGCAATGGGATTTTTAGTGGGTTTAGTAATTGGGGTAGTTTTTGGGCTGGGATTAATTTTTGCTTTTGTTCGATCCGAAAATGCTCGATCCCAGCAACGCTCCGACCGTGTAAGTTGCAAATTCTTTACCAGTTGTGTATGGAACATAAAATCCTTTATAGAACTGATTTTTTTAAAAAAAAAAAATGGAGAAAATTCTTAGGCTACTACAGTCGCGGCGTTTGCTAGAATGACAGTGGAAGATTCTAGAAAGTTACTGTGCCCGGAGTATTACCCTTCATGGGTTGTGTTCTCCCAGCGCCAGAAGGTTAGTTTTACCATATAATCTGTGTGTAAATGTGGAGTAATATACTCGGTCATTTATTTGTTTTTATGCGTTTTCAGTTGACTTGGCTTAATCTTCATCTGGAAAAGATATGGCCCTATGTCAATGAGGTATAATTTCCACTGTATATTTTGTATAAAAGATTTTTGTTTTGAGTATTTGTTAATTTTTAAATTCTTGGAGTTTAAAGGCAGCGTCTGAGCTCATAAAGGCGAATGTAGAACCAGTCTTGGAGCAATATAGACCGGGGATATTGGCGTCTTTGACATTTTCCAAGTTAACGCTTGGAACCGTAGCTCCTCAATTCACAGGTTGGCTTTTCGAACATTTAACATGATTTAAAAGGTTTGGTCAAGACCATTAGTTAAGCAGCCTGATTCATTCTTCTCTTCCCTTGCTTTATTCACAAGTTCAATACTGATGTGTTTTTTCGCATGTTTCCATGTGTGCATCTAATGTAACTGGATGAGTGTTTCTTAGGTACTAAATATAATATCGGAAAAAGAAATCTTACAAATTTTTTCTATTTTATGTAAAATGCTTTCTAGGTAATGTGCTCATGTACCCTAGATGACGTTATCACTCATGGTTGTGGACATTCACGAAAGGACAAGACGTAGCTTGAAAGAACGAGAAGTAGAAAATTGATCAGCTGATTAAAAATTTAGTGGATCTTAGATAGTTTGTGTAGTTCAACCATCATATTAGAGCCTAAAATTAGGCACAGTTGTCATGACTGAAATCAATAGTGTTGAGAATTAGAAACCATAATTCTATACTACCAAGAGCAACAAAATTGCAGTAAAGAAATAAATACACAAAAGAACATACAAAATTTATAGAAGTTCGCTTCAATATAAGACTATATCCTCGTTCACCGCTACAGAATTTACTATAATCAAAAAAGGTTTTCAAGAGAAAAATTGCAAATCATATCTTCTCTAACCTCTCTCTTTTTATGATGATCACAAAACCTTACTTATGGCTCGCTCCTTATTTAACGTGTGTTTGATGCACATTTTTTAGGAGAGTGCATTTTTTTGTGATGTGATGGGGAATGTGTGGTTGAAAAAGAATGAAAAGTTATTGATATGATAGAAAATATTATTTTATTGAAGAATATGTGGTTGAAAATGAGTAGAATAATGAGAATGAAAATGAGATTGTGGCTCAAACATGGGCTTAAATAAAAATTAGGACAAAACCGAAATTACAAGTGTAAAATTCCTAAACTATTCTTAATGAAATTTTGGCTGATCTGTGTACAGACTCCACATAATGGCAATAATTAGGCTCCACAACTTAACAAATAGGGTTTATGAAAATTCCAGGCTTCGAAGGGGGAGTAAATTGCCAAATATTTACAGGGCACTAGGTACTGAGAGATCAAGGATTCCACAAGTTAGAATACCATAAACTTATAAGATCTAAATATGTGGCATTCAAGCTCTTTTATGATGGATATGTCGAGATGAATTTGCCATCTCAATAAATGGAAAAACAATATGAGATTAACTATATTGGGCTATTCTTCTGGTAAAGCAAAAGGATTTCTAGTGCTTGCATTTTCTCATGCCCTGAAGATAGTGGACAGTTGATGAAATATGGAATGCTAAGTTATATTTTCCTTATGAGATAATATAAGAATTTATCTTACTTATTGGAAGGTATATCTGAATACGACACAGCTACTCTTCAATCCTTTATTACATTTGTTATCGGTAGCGTCAACAGTATCTTCTCTAATGAGCTGCGTCGATAGGGATGTATATGAGATTGCTTCTTTTATGACTACTGAAATGAAGAAGTTAATGACCTTACTAATTTTGTAATGTTATTCAGGGGTTTCCATTATTGAAGATGGCACTGAAGGTATCACCATGGAGTTAGAGATACAGTGGGATGGAAACCCAAACATAGTACTTGATATTAAGACTTATCTTGGTGTTGCTCTCCCTGTGCAGGTAAATTCTAGTCTTCTTATCCTCTTTTTCTTGTTTCTTTTCTTGCACTCTTGCTTTCCATCGTAGTGACTTATCAACAAGGATTTTTGTTTCTCACTTAGGTGTACGAGATTCAAAAGAATTAATGTGAGTTACAGCTTGATTTAAAGACCCAGAATCATGAAGCTTATGGGTACTGATTAGTCTGTTAGCTAAAATTTTATACTCGAAAGAGTATCTCGATACAACTTTATGCTCTGAGGAATTTGAGAATAATTCTCAATTTCATGGAAACCTGGGGATTAGTCTGTTTTACCTTCTGTAATTGGAATAGCAGTATAGTCTATTAACTAAAATTTGTATACTCGAAAGAGTATCTGGATGCAACTTTATGCTCTGAGGAATTCGAGAATAATCCTCAATTTCATGGAAAGCTGGGTATCTTAATATCTTCTGGATTCTCAGTTACCTGGTTGTTGGCTAGATGGCACCATTGAAGAGGAAAGAGTCATTTTGGAGAACTGGTAAGACGATAACATGAAGGTATAAAGCTATATGCTGGTACACATGAGCAATGAGTTATAATTCAATGCGAAGAAATGTGTTGCGCATATTTATGCTGCTTTATTTACAAGAGCTGTTTAAGGCAAAAGTCAGTCAACAAGATATGAGATCACCAAGAACCTCATTAGACGAGGATCATAACAGAATGATTATGTGCTCGAGATGACACGTCTAATTGAATAATTGGAAGCTTTGGTCTTTTACATGTATACAAGATTATACCTGTCGTATCCCTCTCCCTAGACCCTAAACGAGTGTATTTCAGCTTCTTACATCTGCAATTTTGTTTTTCCTTTTATATTTTGGTTTAACAAAAAGAAACTGTAACAATCTCGTCACGTGGTTTCAGAAGTTTATTATATGATAAAATGTTATAGACTTGTTAATGGACTTATTTCAACCTTGTATGTTTTTCTCTCTGTATAGGTGAAAGATATTGGATTTACAGGGGTTTTCAGGTTGATTTTCAAACCGCTAGTTGACGAATTGCCTTGTTTCGGAGCAGTATGCTTCTCATTGAGACAAAAGGTGCTGTATTTTCTATATTAATTCTGAGATTCTTCCAGCAAAAAGTTAGTTATATATATTCTACAAGGAGGAGAAATCCTAGTGTAAAATGTAGCTATAAAGCAATATATCTTGCACTATGCCCTCGTACTCCTTAATATTTGATAAGAAATGACTTTGTTAGTCGTAAAGCAATTTTTTATGACCCTTGATGTCACTGCCTATATAAGTAAGCATGTTTGCTTGGCAACACGAATAAATAAAACAAGCTGTAATAATTTCTTCTTTTGACCTTCAGAAAAAGCTGGATTTTAAGCTTAAAGTTGTTGGTGGTGATATATCAACCATACCTGGCCTTTCTGATGCCATTGAGGTTTGTAAAATATCTTTTCTTGAGTGCCATTTGATTCTTAGAATGAACCTTATATGTTATGGGTTTTGACCCTGTTAGCTCTTTGTTGCAAGAAACAACGGAAGCAACATATAAGAATCTTGCATATGTGGGATAGATATTATGAAACAGGTTATGGTTGTCGTGAGATATGAATCAAGTATAGAAAATGATCACTTTGTGCATCGATCTTTACACTGTAAGATATGTTTCCATATGTTATCCCTGTACTGAAGTTACAATAAAAGGTGTTACATGTAATGCATTTTGTATCCTAAAAATATGTTGTCTTTATACAGAAACTAAAATAATAGGTGTTACATTTAGCATAATATATAATTATGTTTTTTATATTGAAAAACATACAGTTGTTTATAAACATTTTTACTTATATACATGCAGTACGTGGTATTAACGTGTTCTATAGAACGAAAGTTCATGACGAATTTACAAAGAGGTGCACACAAGGGGTTATTATGATTAGCTTATAAGGTGAAAGAGTATAACAAAGAATGAAGAGGTTAAACAATATGTACAAGTAACGATTTACTTTTTGCTTTAGAAAATAGTACAATTGCAATATTTTATTGGCTTTTGATTTATATTTCAACCATAACTTTAAATCACTTAATTTTTCCAGCATAAAACTTATACACTCTTTCCTTTCTAGCACTGGACATAGAATGGAGCAGAAGGATTTATGTAGAATATTCCAAATTTAGTGGGAATAAGGCTTAAAGCATGTTTGGGTGCTTGCTTATTTTACTTGTAAGGAGAGAGAAAAAGTACAATCTTTTGTACTTTCTCTTTCTCCTTACAAGGAAAATAAGTAAGCACCCAAACATGCTACCTGTTTAGTTCAGTATAAGAAATTTAATAAACTGTGTAATTCATATTTTACTGGAGTTAGGCTTATATCGTCGTTTGAAGATTATTAAAAAACTATCCCATATTGCTTTTTCACAGAGCATGATAAGGGATGCTGTTGAAGATTCTATTACATGGCCAGTTCGAAAAATTATCCCCATTTTGCCTGGAGATTATAGGTAATTCACAGTTGTAAGAATTCACTGTTTTGCCCTTTTCTTGTTTTATTTATAACAACAAACATCTCGTTCCAACAAATATGGTGTTGATTGCTTGAATCTTTTTCTACCACTATGTTCAATCATCACTACATCCATAGAAAGCCATGTTAATTTTAGTCTACTTCTAACTAAATATAATGTCTGTTTTCCCAAAAATAAATATAATTGTGGCGCATACAAGTGTAACGTTGTGAAGGTTAAGCTGCTCGAGAGGAGCTGCGTAGATGTTAATATCTCTTTTTGGGCTAGATCCCTTTTTAAGCAGATGCTAAGGTTGAAAAAGATAAAACTTGCTGATGTTTTCTAACTTATCCTCCATCTGGGAAGAATTTATTGACGGTTGAATTGATAAATAGATAGAAATAAGTGGTGGATAAATGGATAATACTTGTGGGTCCATTCGATTGTGTGCTTGAAAATGAAGCTTGACCGTTTATAAATGATTTATAAATTTTGCCAAACTGAGGCTTAGAACAATTATTAACTTTTGAATTCTAAGATTGGGATCCAAGACTCTCTTCAACTGCAGAGTTTCCAACAATAGATCGTAGTAATACTAACAATCTGATAGTATTAACAATGACCAGCAACAACTATACACAACTAATATAAAAATGATATTGATGGTGGTAGTAATTCTTACCCATGAAAAACACTTGTGAAAGTAACCACTAGATCTTGTTATGTCTATATATTTTGGATTTATGGTTATTTATCTGTGGATTTGAACTAAATCCTGAATCGGCTGGGTCATGGTGGTTTTTGTTGATGTTCTTTGTTTTTTCCAGTGACCTTGAGCTCAAGCCTGTAGGAATTTTGGAGGTGAAACTTGTGCAAGCAAAGGAGTTGACAAACAAAGATATAATTGGGAAATCTGATCCTTATGCTGTGTTATATGTGCGACCCTTGCGCAATAGAATGAAGAAAAGTAGGACTATTGTAAGTTGTTAAATCTGGTTCCTTGAAAGAGTTCACTACCATCCTTTCTGTCAATTCATAATAGTCACTTCCCTTTATTCTCTTCTTTCCCCAGAACAACCAATTGAATCCAATCTGGAATGAACATTTTGAGTTTGTAATTGAAGATGCATCAACACAACACTTGGTAATAAAAATCTATGATGACGATGGGGTTCTTCAGTCATCTGAACTAATTGGATGTGCTCAACTTCAGCTAAGTGATCTCGAGCCTGGTAAAGTGAAGGACGTGTGGCTGAAATTGGTGAAGGATTTGGAGATTCAGAGGGACAATAAAAATAGGGGGCAGGTGAAATATCCCTTTCTCAAGATTATTATATTTTGCTCAATATTATTAGTGTTTCATAACTGGGGCGAACTCAATCCTGCTTGGGAATAGTTACCATATATGTGAGGGTGGGGAAGAAAATGGTCGACTAAATTTTTATTTTTGTTCAGTGAATGGTGCACAATCAAAGTTCTCATCTGAAATTGCACAAACTTTCTGCATTGTGATTGGTGAATAAAATATAACCACCATAATCAAGAAAAAACACTTCCTGGTTTTTAATGATCTTAAAAATGCTTACCCTTCAAAATTAATAGGTAATTAAATAAAACACATATAGGGATGCAGTGACGGGTTTTTTAAATTTGATTCTGTTATGATTGTATTCTCATGATTATCTCTGTAGCTTGGAATGATATCACCAAATCTCTATCAAGGTCTCCTGATGTTGATATAGTATGTCCACTTATTCTGTATATCAAACAAAGAAAAGTGGTTTTGCAAGTAATCTTCCAAGCTGCTACCAAACTGTCCAACTGAAAGGCATTTATGTGAATTTTCACAGTTTGCTTATATTCATATCCACCACTAGTCTTTTTATTGTGTATAGTGATTTTTTGTCTACGAAATGGATTATTCCAGGAAAGTAAAATCATTTACATAGAATCTCTTTTTTGCTAGTGTTTGGATCAACATGATGCATGACATAATAAAATTAGCATCCAATTATTTAAACTCCATTAGACATTTACTGATCCAAACTCCCATTTGATTGGGATATTCCTATGAAATTCAACCCTCTTAAGACCAGGAACAATCGACTCTCTTGAGCTTTTAGATGAGATGGTTCAACACGTATCAAAGTAGGTAGAGGTACCGAGTTCAAGTCTCGTCGCTCCCCATATGTGCAATTTGTGCGTGTCCGGCTGCACGTGACCAGGTGTGTTAAATACTAAAACCAGTTAAATAGACCAGCACAAAAACCTCTCCCTTTTCATGCTGAAAATTCAATATAAGCTCTTTGATGAGGCGGTATATTTCTAGCAGCAGAATTATGAATCTATCCATTCAATCAACATCATGATGAAAGTGCTACACTTAAGTCAATGTGTGAGTGGCGATGCCTCTTTCTATTAGAAAGCTACTTGCTTGGCATAATTTCAAGTAAAATAAGAAATAATTGCTTCAATTCTATTATATTAAATGGAGATATATAATTAAAAGATATTTTATCAAAAATTATGTATAAAAGAATAATCTGAATTGATGTGAATCTCTGTTTTTTCTCTCTTCGTATCATGAATTTTTCAGGTGCATTTGGAGCTTCTTTATATCCCTAATGGCATGAAAAATGGATTTACCAACCCCTTTGCTCGGATGTTTTCAATGACTTCACTGGAGAAGGTTCTTAAAAGTGATAACAAAGGAAAAAAATTAGTTGAAAATGGCGGTGAAGTCAAAAGAAGGGAGGTAATTGTGAGAGGGGTACTTTCTGTTACTGTGATATTGGCTGAAGACTTGGCACCTGCAGACTTCATGGGAAAAGCTGACCCTTATGTGGTACTTATTATGAAGAAAACTGAATCAAAAAACAAATCCAGGGTATATTTCTCAATTTTAGTGTTGTCTGGAATGTCATGTATCTACTGCTAAAACTTGTCCTCTTTTATCCTATGTGAACCCTCACATTTCATCCATGAGATCTTTTACTTTGGTTGCTTGTGTTGTCATTGTATGTTCTCACTTGATAGATAGTAACACTTCTAAATTGACATGTTTTTTTACTTGTGTTTTCATTGTTCTTATTTTTATAGGTTGTGAATGACAGTTTGAATCCCATCTGGAATCAGACCTTTGACTTTGTTGTTGAGGATGGATTACATGATATGCTAATCATAGAAGTCTGGGACCATGACACATTTGGGAAGGTATTTTGCTTTTTACTCCTGTAAATTTGATGTTTCCAACGTATTTATGAGGTGGTGAGATATATGGATCAAGATGGATAAGAAGTAAATGGACATTAGACAGCACCAGCTCTTTGTGCTTGCAAACCTATACATCATAACTCTCCTCTAATGAGACATTCTATAGTTGAAAGGATCTGAATATTTTTCTAACAGGAAGAAGATACAAGAAAAGGAAAATATTCCTAAATAAAGAAAATTACTGACTAACTCTCTCTACCTGAATACTGAATGCTATGTTTTTCACCTCTATAAGTAATAGGAAATTGTATTTGAGTAGCACCATGAGAGTGCAATTACTATGCTAAAGGATTAAAGGAGTATTCACATCAATCCATTAATCTAAGAGGTCGGCATATCTCAGTATAATTATGGCAGACAGAACTAAACTCTTCAATTAGCTATTTAGATGTTTGACCACTTCCAAGTTTCAGGTAATAGCTACTGGGCTTGATTAATTTTAATTCATTGGCATATAAGTGAGCTGTACAATGAGTTGCGACATTTGGTTAATTTCTCTAGTTGGTATATTGAATCTTCTTGCACTTTTCCATCTACACAAGCGCACTTGGTTTATTTTCTTTTCTTATCTTTTGTGAAAAATTCTGCTAAAGTTGAATATTAGCAATGCAAACGAGAATAGCATATTATATTGCATCTCAGTATTACTGTAAAGAATTCTTGAAGAGCCAAATTTTAAGATCTTTGATGCATTACAATTGGTGAGTGATAAGGATCTGCTTCAGCAAGGAAACAGCTTTTCAAACTCAAGGATTGGGGTACATTTACATGATAACAAGGAAACTGCATTTTAAGCAATGATCATGCTAATGTAATTAGTTTTGTTGTGAGTTTTGGTGTGAATTTAATCGTCATATCCGTCTTGCAAATGAGCTATTTTTCTAATGTTAATTCCTGTCTCAATATCGATTGCAAGCATGCACTGGTTGTAGATGAGCATGCTTAGGAGTGCTTAAATTCAAATTTAAGTGATTATAAGTTGTGGGTCCTACGAAATGTGTGGTTAATAATAAGTGGGTAGTAGTTGTGGGTCGTATAATAAGTATGTTTGCCAGCTTAAATTATAACTTAAGCTTTGCCAAACATGTACCGAACAAATGAGCCACAGTGCTACTTGTAAATCCACCTCCTATCTGTATTCATTTTTCTGTTTGACCAATTACTAACTTCTTTTGCCAAACATGTTTTCGATTTTCAAAATTTACTTTCTCTCTCTCAGTTGTTTAGTACAAAATCTTGCTTTTTTGACAGTAAGTCTTTACTTGCAAAGTAAGTGAACTTTCTTTTCAGTGTAGCCAAACATGCTGTTAGTCCCATTTTGAGTGACAAAAATCAATTTTTTCTTTGACTGCAGGATTACATGGGAAGATGCATCTTGACTCTAACAAGGGTTATACTAGAAGGCGAATTATTTCTATGAAAGGGCGATCTGTCTGCCAAATCGGGAACACTCAACTTGCATCTCAAGTGGAATCCACTACCCATTTACAGGGACTCCTAGTGGCCCTCCAATGGCAAATAGTGAATTCTATAGCACGTGGAATGGATTTTGAGCTCTATATAAGTAGTATACGTATACACATAACATACTGAAACTCTACCTAGCAAAATTGCTCAATAAGCATCGAGACTACGTACATTGTAGATTTAATCTTAATGTATGTAAGACTGAATATTACGGTTTTAGCTGTGTGTAGAGAGAAGTTGTGAAGTGGCAGAAGATTCATTATAGGTTGGGGAAGAAATCTGGGTGCAAACTCGTGGAGATTTGGTAGGAATTGTTGTATGAGAAGGTGTTAAACTTTATATGAGGCTGACCAAGATTTTCTCAACTTCAATTCCGTTTGTGTAAGAATATGTTTGGTAAAGGTTATTTTTGTAAATTAAAGAGTGGGTTATAACGAATGACTATACTGTTTATATGTTACCATTGTAACTTATGAAGTGGTTGAACTTTTAAAGAATTATAGTATTTTCTAATTCATTAAAATGAAACAATTTACTTAAGCTCTAATTTTTTTTTTTTTTTGGTAAAATACTTAATATATTACGTATCAAAATATAAATAATTTTAATTACTACTTGTGATTTAATTATATCTCATTAATTTTCATTAATCCGACTTGTTTCCCCTTTCAATGGATAGTCGATGGATCTATTGCGTGTGTTCAAAGGTTTATTCGACAAAAGATTAAAAGAGTGGATTAGCATAGAATGTTAAAATATTAATATATATAAATAATTAATTAAATAGGATGAGAAACGGTAATATTTTATTTCCCACCCAAACCCCCTGAGTAGAGATGGCTGAAGATTTTTTTTTTACCATGCCACCTCGTATCCCGAGTTAATTATTTCAATGACCATTGTACTTCACTCATAGTCATGGATTACCTATTGAACTTTGCAATGCTTTCCAATACCCATTGAACTTATCTCTGTTTCACTAAAACGGCCATTAGACAGATTCCGTCCTTAAACACATCTGCGTGGACGATGAAATGCTGATCCATCAGTTGAAAATGTTAACCCCATGGACACGTGGATGACAAGTCACCCAAACAGACCATTCGCCACAGTAAAGATTTTTGAGTTCATTGACATTACAATTGAATGAAATGGCAAAAACAAAACAAACCCAACTCCAGTCAAATTGAAGAGAAAACCCTAGCCCTAGCCATTGCTCCAAATCCATTTCATCTGTAAATGCATCTCCAACTTCGAATTGGGAAATCCGAATAGATTTCCTTTTCTATTCAGGTCGCGATTGGGCAAATGAGTCTCAACTGTCAAACCCAAACCAGAATCCCCAAATCGATTTCAAATGTGCAACCCCAAAATTCATTTTCTGCAGAGACGGGCGTTGATGTAGCTGGGAGTGAAAATGCTTCACAAACAAATGCTTGACGACTCTTGCAAGAATAATTAGCAACCTAGAGGTCAGTATTTGCATTGTACATGCACATTTTCTTGATGTTGAGGAACACGAGAGATTGGTACAGGTTATGAACACTTCACAAAATAGCTATATGACTAAAGATTATAGTTTTTTCATTCTTCTTTTTGACAGAGTGACTGGAATTAATAGAACAGCTCACATTTTCTTTCTTTGAATTTCTTTGAACAGGGGTTAATGTCTTTGAATTTCTTTGTGCAGGGGTACATTTCTTTCATTTTCATTGATCAGGGCTTAATTTCTTTGAATTTTGTTGTTCAGTACAACAAACAATTGTAGAATGTCAGGGAGAAACAAGGGTATTTGTCATAGCTGTAGAATGCATAGGCACATGTTGCCAGACTGCCCAACAAAGACACGATGTCAAGAATGTGGATTGGGCTTTGTGAAATGTATGGAGATTGAAAAAAAGACAAAAAACATAGGTCGTTTATTCTTATGTTGTACTAGAGATTGTGGTCTTTTTAAGTGGAATGATGATCCATCGTCGTCACAAGAAACACCTTTGCAATTTGATGCTAAGTCCAGTGTGAAATCGAAGACGAAAGATTCGATAGAAGATTTGTCGTCTATATTGAAGACAACTGTTTAGATAAAATAAGAACAATTGTAGATAACTACCAATATAACGATTCGCAAGGAAAAAGGAGCTACCGAGTACAACGGGAAAGGAAAGGAAAGAGTTCCAAAAATTTCTTCCAACTATGTTGAATAAGTTTTTGTTTTGCTGTTTATGTAATTGTAATGAGGCCCCACGTTTTGTTATGAATATTGTAATGAAGTTCCTTTAGGATTATCAATCTTTACATTAGCTTCAGTTTATTGCCTTCATTGAAAGTGTTGAATTAAGATGTGAAGCTTCACTTGATGGTTGGCCATTTATTGCTTTTGTTGGACAGTTATTAGGCAGAATGGTAAGATTCCAATAAAGAGTTCACAGTTAAACTATTGATACCCTACCTAGTTCAATTACTTATCTATGGCAGAATGGTAAGATTCATCTTTCACTTGCATGGATTGATACTTAATTCATATGTGATTTAACTACAATACTTGAGAGATCACTACATAGGTCTCAGAAGATAGAAATAGCCCAACTGATTTAACAGTGTTGTCCTGCCATGTGCCTGTTGAGGGCTTTGATCGAGTTTGGCAATGATCAGGGCATTCATGTGACCTAAAATCTGAACTGCTTCACAGAATATGTTCCTACATCTGAACTGACGGGAGTCTAAAATCCGAATTGCTTCACAAAATATGTTATGAAAATATAAAACAAGAACTTGGAGTAATTTAAACAATCGGATCAGACCAACAACTTATATTTCAGTCCTAATATCAGCAGTTATATTATGCACATAAATCTTGCTTCCACTAAAATATTGCATTAATATATATACTAAAGTACCTATTTTTGACTGCTTCAAAAACCACAAAAAAATTCAACTGTTACCAAAAAAACAGCCACCAACAGAATTCCTAAATCCTTGGGCTTTGCATTAATATCTATACTAAAGCACCTATTTTTGACTGTTTCAAAAATAAATAAAAAATCAACAGTTAAACAAAGCAGCCACCAACATACTGACCAAATCATTGGCCTTTACATTAACATCTATACTAAAGCACCTTTTTTGTTACTTCAAAAACCAAAAAAATTCATTGTTGCCAAACTTCACTCTAGGATGTGGCCGTTGAAATATTCTCATTTCTTCTTTTCGGTGCCCTGTCTGCCCTGAACCTGGAGGCTTTCGCAACATTAACGCTTTGCAATTCTTCGACTATCACTTCAAAATTAACTTCAGTGGTAGGAACATTAACGCTAGGTAAGGTTGCAGCTGGTCCAGATGTTGCATAGTCAGTTTGCATTTCCCTAACTACCATGGGTGTAGGCATGAATTGGAATTGTTGTCCTTCAACCAGGTTGTGGGTCGATGATGATACCTTTCTTTGTGGCACTCTTTTGCCGATCATGTTTTCCTATAAATCAACAAGCAAATTGAGAAATATAAATACTACATTCCTACAAAGAAATAAAGGACTGATTAAATCTTTACTTGCTCGTTACCCGCTACATTGGCATATTCGTCCACATGTTCTAATTCTGTGTCGAACCAATCCTGCCACATGCAAATTGAATCATAACACATTTCCATAGTTAACCAAACTTCAAAAAAATACAAATGATATGCTTACATTGGCATTAGGTGCATCGGGTCTATCGTGATATCGTTTATTGTGACCAAACGGGCCGCATGTTAAACATGTCATTTTCATTCGACCTTTTCTTCGAACGTAAGATTTTCCTTGTGAATACATGACCACTTCTTCGTCCGCCCCCCTTTCTCTTATTTATCTGCCTCTTTCCCGAACGTGGGACAGTCCATGAAGGGGGAATTATATCCATGACTTCCACATTTGGCCATAACCTCATCCCGTTAATAGGGTTCAAGATGTTGTTGTAGCATCTCAAGTATGTCTCGATTGTGTAGCAGTTGTCAACATAATCTTCTGATTCTTTCCTACACTCTCTTATGACGGATATTGCATGCATGCACGGAATTCCAATAAGTTCACATTCTCTACATGCACATGTTCGTTCTTGGAGATCGATAACGTATGTTCCAAAGATGCAATCAACTTGCCATTTAGGCCCTCCAAATAAGTGCAATGTGCATTCCCGAGATTTCTCGGCATTCTTGTGAAGTTTTCTATTGATCTGAGGACATAAACGACCAGTGCACCTCATCATTCTGTCTCGACGGTTACGAATCCTAGTCGTGAAGCTCAATTGAATTGAAGTAAGCATAGTAATAATCATTTTCTCCCTATCACTTCGTAATGTCTTGTTGAACACTTCGCAAATATTATTTAAAAGGATGTCGCTCCTTGCATGAAAGAGAAATGAGACCTACTTCATTCTTGTGGAGGCCTTTCCTTCAGCCATTTGTATGCATCTTCGTTTAGTTGCCTGATCTGCTGCATCCAATGTCGATGGTTAGAACAGTGATCGACTTCGCAGTGCGCCATAGGTAATTTTTAAGAATTTTTCCTTTAAAACCTCGATTAAAGAAGTTCGTGTACATATGTCATACACAGAACCTGTGCTCAGCCTCAAGAAACAACCCCTCTGTTACATTCTGTAAACTTTTTTGTCTATCCATCATCAATGTCCAACCTCTACCATTGTCAATCCCAATGTCATCCTCAAGATGCTTCATAAACCATCTCCAAGTGTTCTCTCTTTCAACGACAACATATGCAATTGGATATATACAATGGTTAGCATTTAGGCCAATTGCAGTTAGCAATATTCCTTCAAAACAACCCCATAGGTGACAACCATAAACTACGCCCAACTTCCTACAACCATACATAAATCCTATTTTAAAACAGCTAAAACAAAAGTAGATCCCCTGAAACACCTGTTATTGCAATGCGATAATCACGGTAGACCCAACATTTGTTCGTAGCACCTCAGCTGCATTGGACTTCAAAAGCCTAAACCGATCTTATATTATCCCTACCAACATCTCCTTGGCATATCTTCTTATCTTCCATGCCACATTTTGACTAATATCCGTACGAAAATCTTTTTTTGCCATCGCCTAAGTTATATCTTCCATTCGGGGGTCTGCCTTGAATTGTTCAATATACCATTTTGTTAAAAAACTGTAATTGCAATGTCTGTTAAATTGGTCGAGACTACATGTATGCTCCGCTGTGTAATATTTCATCTGTAGTCTCTCAGAATCATCAAATGCGGATGCCCATATTCTCCATATACACCCCAGTTTGCAAGCCCCTTGTGAGATCTGTCCTCATTTACCTTAAACTTCACATTATATCCATTCATTGTACCATATATCCTTACCGTCTCTCAGAACTCAACTGCAGAACTAAATAGTTGTCCGACCTCAAATTTTGGATTTTTCATTCCTGAATCGACAGAAAATTCAGGAAATCGATAACCACTCTCTTCGTCGAAAGAGCATTGTGACAATAGCTCCTCCGACGATGGATATTCCAAATCATCTACGTCAATCTCATTACCCTCGATCAGTTCGTCCTCCACTCCCCTATCACATCGATCCAACACCGCTTCAATCCCATCTGTCACATTTCTATCGTACAATATGTCGTCTTCATCAGATGCAATGTCATTATTAGAATCTATGCAAAATAATCCCCTTAACTCAGTTTGAAATCGATTTTGGGTTAGGATTTGGGGATAGCGGTTTTGGAATTTCAGGTCTATCGCAAGAAATTGTGAAGGTAGAGACCAATTTGTAGAGGATTTGAATTTGGGAGAAATGCTAGGGCTACGGTTCATTCAGGTGAGTGGAATTGAATTTGGGTTGAATTTTTGGCCAATAATGTCAATGAACTCGAAAATCTTTACTGTAGCGAAGGGCCTGTTTGGGTGACTTGTCATCCACATGTTCACGGGGTTAACATTTTCAACTGACATATCAACATTCCGTCGTCCACGTAGATGTGTTCACGGACGGAATCTGTCTAATGGCCGTTTTAGTGAAACAGAGATAAGTTCAATGAGTATTGGGAAGCATTGTAAAGTTCAATGAGTAATCCGTGACTATGAGTGAAGTACAGTGACCATTGAAACAATTAACTCTCGTATCCCAAAAATCTCCTCATTTCGTGTTTATTTCCTACCCAAAACCCACTAATCTCGACCGACTTATAAAATTTTTTACCATGCCACCTCGTCTCCCAAAAATCTCCTCATTTCGTGCCATCATTGGTCCATCGTAACCCTAAATTAGTACTTAATTAAAAAGTATGAAATTCGAACATAAATTTTGACGATATAATTGACTAAAACGTTCAAGCTAGTTAAAATATATTTACTTATCTACTACATGCGGTTGAGATACTTTTGTTTCATCCGAAATTTTGTAGTAAGCCAATAGCATTGAATTTTCTGATTCAAACACGTTTATAGAGTGGTTTAGAAGCGACACAATGTCGTGTCATGTCTTATCTATTGATAATCTTGGGAACTCTCGCAAAATTTGTCCCTTTTCCGCCTTCTCCACGTATATGACAAAATTGATGAATCAAAATTCGATAATTCTTTTTCTCTTTTTGGAATCTTGATTTCCTTTTCACCTTAATTGAACTTTATCTGCAGAATTCTTTTAATTTTCAATTTGGGGTATACTTAATTCATATGTGATTTAACAGTGTTGTCCTGTCATGTGCCCATTGAGGGCTTTGATCGAGTTTGGCAATGATCAGGGCATTCATGTGACCTA